TTCAGGACGCTGCATGTCCAAGCTATGGCCTCGGGGCTAGACACGGGCGGCTACACCGTACCATTCTGGGCTGTGTACGGGGGTGAACTAGTCTATGAACATACATTGTCTGGAATGAACTCTGTACCTTGAAGAAAGCAGCTCCGCAATGACCCTTGGCAAGTTTGAAGGATATCCAACCTGATATTGACCACGGCAGCTTTCTGTTGTTCGGTGAACGGTGCTCGTACGGGAGGAAGATCGAACATTCGACGTACTACTTTCGGGTTCCGAATCCTGCGGAGGGTCGAAGAAGCATCCATACCTGCTCGTCATCTATAAACGCGCTTTGGAAGTCACTGCGTTGCGTCTGCCCAGTCGACCACTGCAGTGGTATTGTTGCGAACGCGGTATACCTAAAAAGTGCCCGTGACGTGATGACAGCGGCGCACGTTTGTTGCCCGACTTGAACGACCTTGTCCAGTGGTGCGGATGAAATATGAATATCGGGGACATGTGTGAAATTATCTGATTGGATAACAATGCGGTGCAAGACGAGTGTCGGGTTTGGTATAGTCTACGATATGTAGTCTGCGTGTACGTATGCAGAGATTACGCAAGCTTTTTTATCATTAATCAGTAAGAAACTGTGCATCATTCGGCAGCTTCATGCTCTACACCATGGCCATCTGTTGAACAAGCGTGGCGAAAGGTGCACCCCATTGCTGTAGTCTATTGGTAATGTTCCCAACACCTATATTTGGCGCTACCGGTATATTACAAGCATTGAATGCCATGAACGTCTTGTACCGATGGAGGTCTCCGGGCGAGAATGCGCCGATCACAGGGATCGCATCCCTGGGGGGACGTGGTCGTGGCTTGAAGAAAAGCTTGACGGACGCTGACTAGTTGCTGCAGTCTAGCGGTCTAGTTAGTGGGCTCGTCCTTTCACGCGTAAAACCTTGGCGGCGGAAGTGGAGCGCTGTGGGTATCCCCCCCTGCCGTAGGACACGATTGTTCGACACAACATGAACGACGCACGCAGCCCCACCTCTCCACCCACCTCTCCACCTGCCGAGTACGAAACATGTCGGCAGAAGCTCCACCAGTACAGCAGCTACGCCAGCGACAATGTTGAGGCGCATGTCTATAGAGAGCTCGAGCTGTCACTACAGCAGTCTGGCCTGACTGAGTTGAGCGCCCAACTACCGGTTGTCGTCAATTCGCGCGAGATACGCACACGGGTTATCGCCGTTGATCACCCCGATTTTAGAACGGTCATGGAATGACATTCAAAGGAGCTTGATCCGGTTGATTATTGCCCTCCACCTTCTCAAGTGTGCTTCCCAGAAAAGGTCACGGGCATGGGTCGCAGCAGCATGGACTTCGAATATTTACGGCGCCCTTCGAGGTCTACGTACCACTGAAAATTCATTTGCCTGCGGCAGCGATGGCGATACAATCGCCAGTGTCCACAGGCAAAGCTTGAAAGCAGGGTCGAGGGTGGAAACCTAGAGATTCGCGGATCGCTCCGGAGCGTGTTAGCCACGAAAACGCCGCAGCGGCCCGACGTCAGCAAGCGTGCGTGTCCAAAACTGATTCGGACGGTAGATTGAGTTCGGAGAAGGGCGATTGCGCGGGAGGGCAAGGTGGGTTGTCATACGGCAAGTTGTTGTCCTTCCCTCTCACAGCTGGTGTAGGGTACAGTAGTAGTCACAAAACCGCCGAATCGGCTGTGAATGCCATGGTCAGAAGGAGTGAAAAATGTCAGGCCCGTTTCCTTGTAGCTTGGATGTTTCACCAATTGGTACCGATTTGCCTTCAGTTTTCATTCTAGGTTCACCCACATTGCACATCCAATTCTTCACAATAGTGTGGTACTGCAGTGCTGAAATTTCAGACTTCGTAGTTTCAGAACGAACATCGGTTCCCTCAACGAGGAAGCCACGATTCCGAAAGCAAAACAGATCGTTCGCGACGACGCCCCACGTAGTCATGATGCGGGTCAGCCACGGAAGCCCAAGCGCGTGGGAGTGAGGAATCGAATTCACACCGGGGCTTCGGACACACCGAACCCTCCATATGAACGTCATCGACAAAATGAAAGAAGTTTGTCACGTGGGTTACCGATAATGAAGCATCATGTCTTCAAGGAGCCGGGTCTTGGTTTCACGCGGGGACGTAAAACACCGAAAACATTCTTTACCCATGTCATGGTACAGAGTGAATGGAGAAGTGAACATTGTGACCGCTCTTCCGAGAAACTCAATAGTTTAACGATCCATACCATTTTCCTTCCGGGCCCAAATTGTTTTCCGCAAAAACGTATTTATCGGCAACCCCGTGTCGTTTTGGGTCAAACGATGACTTTCGCAAGAGATAGGGGCTGCGGGAACAGAGCGCAGTTGGTTTCGTGCCCATTGAGATTTTTTTGGCATGTTTTGGCTGTGGCGAAAATATGGCATATTTGCGGCCCCGCTGAAGTGGTCCTGGGGCCAAATGCTCCCCCCCGTGTGACGTGTGTCTTGGCTGCTTTGCTGCAGTGTTGCAGTGGTGCAGAGCTGCTGTGTGTTGTGTGTTGTGCGTGCATCAGCTTTACACTTGTACTGCACGGTTCTTGTCTGGCCATCGGAGCATTGTGTACAGTAGTGCGAGGTCCTGTGGGGGTAAGGAGACACAATAACAAGTCCTGTAGCAGGATACAGGCACGCCCTGGATAAGGGTAAATATTGTCAAACGGGTCCTCCATGGGCTACCAGGTGCTCCGCCCCGCACAACGGACACCCACACACGACAACGGACACCAGATACCCTAAACACTGTAATATCTCGTCAGATTCACTGAATTCGTTCATCAGGTACACCGTATTCCCTCGTTCTTTTCACTGTATCCTCTCATCAAGTACGCTGTATTCCCTGATCAGCTTCACTGAATACTTCGATTTCGCAATTTTCCATAATCGTATTAACTTGTATTACCTCATCCGATTCACCGTATTTCCTCATCAGATGCGCTGTATTCCCTCGTCAGGTCCCCTTTTTTCCCTTCTCCGGATACATAAACTGTTTTCCTTGATAGGATTCACTGTCTTTCCTGATTAGATTTACCGTGTTCCCTCAACAAATTCACAGTATTATTCCCTCATCAAATTCACTCTATTCCCTCATCAGATACGCTGTATTCCCTTTTCAGGTTCAGTGGTTTCCCTTTTTCGGATATACACACTGTATTTATTTGCTGATCATATACGCTGTAATCCCTCAGCAGACACACTGGGGGTGCCCCGCACACCTGAGGGGCGTACCCGATGTAGTCGGGGGGAGTGCCCGCGCAAATGGGGGGCGTCGCCCGTTTGTCTGGCTTGGTGACCGTTAGTCGGGGGGAGTGCCCGTTGTGAGGGTGGAGTGCCCGCTGTGGGGGAGAGTGCCCGTTAGCCCGGAGAGGTGCCCGTTGGAGAATATTTACCCCTATGGGGGTGCCCTATTCCGACGGCAGTCTAGTATTCATTTGTAAACAATGTACAAAAAAATAAAAATGTACAATAATTAGCACGCAGGAAAGCAACCGACTGTTCGTTGCGCTTATTGAAAGCTTGGTGTTTCAGCGCGTGGACCAATGCAAGTTTTTCAAAAAATGAGCTTTTTTTTCTCCATGCCCACTCACGCTGGTTGTTGCTTCGTGGGCAGGAATGTTCTATTATACTATATAATAGTCTACATATGCCTGGGAACAAATCCGACATTTTTGGTGGCTATGTCCTATTTTCTCTGGTGGGACAGCGTTTTTTGTAACACTCTTTTCTGTATTTCACTCCGAGGACCCGTCGGTACACTACCCGTTGCGTATTAGGCTCACGAGATATCGATCTTGCACGTGATGGCCGCTGAAAAGTCGCTGAGACTGCCTCTATTTCAGAGGCTGCCAATCCGAACCAATAAGCCTTCAGATATTGCAATTGTCGGAAGGCAAAAAAAAAAAAAAGTCTTCAGATATTTCGATACTTGATGAAAACCGAATAGGAGCACTTTCAAGCGGGCGGGGTGGTTTCCTCTTTGATTCCTGCGGAACGCAGACATGTCCCACAAACAATGGGCAACATGCGAATAGTGATCAGGCGCAGCGGATATCAGCAGTAGGACCTGCAGCCAAAACTCCATCACCATTGCGTAACACCTCAATCATTGGATTTGATTTGTAGGAAATATCAACAGGATTGCGAGGATAGATGTATCTCCCGTTCTGAGGATAAAACGGGGACGGGACCTTCGTGGCCCCTTTTAGAGAGGACCATGTCCGCCACCTCTTTGCTCAGTCTACCATATGCGTATACCACATACAAGGTTTATGATGAGATCCCTGCATATGGGGCTAGCTTTTGTCAGGGATATGTCGTCCCCTGGTGATTGGTAAGACCTGTAGGTGATCGATGAACGTTTTCAGAGGTGATCTGACATAGGACATGTAGGTGATCGGGGTATGTTTGCCAGTGGTGATCTGAAGGACATACTTCATCAAAGCACCCTCTTTGATTTCACCGACAACACAGCCGATTCTACCCAGGGAATGAACGCCTGGCAGCCTACAGGGAGGGGTAGTGGCGCCCCTGCGCCCTCCCCAACCGAATGACTACATAGGTCGATTCTTGAGAGATAGAAACACAGCAGGCGTCCGAGGAATCTTGAGAGACAGATAGCAACACAGCAGGCGACCGAGGAATCTTGAGAGACAGCAACACAGCAGGCGACCGATTCGTCAAATATGATTCGCGGTCATCGTGTGGCCGATCGAGTCTTACGCATCTAGCGACTTCGAGTACTAAATCATTTTCGTGGTGCCCACCAAAGCTTTGTTTTCGGTGCCAAAAGTGCAATAGACGCACAACAAGTGTCGGTCACATCTGCACGTACAATTTAGTTTCTAAACACGTCTCAACACCCCTCCATGCAGTCAGTGATTCACGAAAACACAAGACGACTTTTGCCCATCAAAGCCACGTTCCATGTGCTGGTGCCTTTGTCTCAAGGTGCACCTGCGCCGACAACGGATTTTGTCCCTCAACTGCCCATCTCTATCTTGCGGGGTCCTACATGGACGACATTGTCGCGGGACGAAGGCGATAGGTTCGTAGGTTCGACTTACTCTTTCAACGTCAACGAGCACGCTAGCACGAAAGCTTCCGCCACCACCACTACTGTAGCGCCAGTACCGTGCATGCGTGGGCATTCACTCTCCGAGTACCAGTTCACTCGTTGGCGACGTCGACGTTTTTCCTTCGCGACCGCGTAGAGTTAGTGCATCGCCAACGGGGAGCAAAGCCGTTGGGACCTTCGGGTATGTGCCCCAGGCAAGGAGACCGGACGTCACCGCGCAGCTGGAAACAACAGTCACGCCCCTTTCGCCCGTACGCGAGAAAGCGGTACTACGGCCGCACTTTCACGGGGGCTGGGGTTCGTCGGGAGGTCATCCTCGCCTCCAACAGGGATCTCGCCTGGTATAGTCGAAGAAACCGCATCTTGCCCGGGAGCAATATACCTCACCTTGAGCATCTCTCTTCTACTTCCTGGAAGGTTGGACGGGAGACCCGCCTCGTATCACACGCTATTGCGGGAAGTTGTCATCGCCTCGGCACCGGTCTACTCCGTCGCATGGACACCGGACTCAGCGTCCCCGGCTCTGGCAGATGCTCCATCGAGGCGACACAAAACAGGACAGTGGCGGCACTAAATCGTACACCACCATGATCCGCACCCCGGAACCGTTGTGCGCTATTCTACATATGGGGCGACGTGGCGGACATCAGTACCAGGGCGCGGTAGGCGAGTGCACCTACACAACGTCCACCCGCACCCAATGCCCTCCCTCGCATGCATTGACCGTTTCTCACGACCAAGGATCAGCAGCCAACATTCCCTCTCTCCCTCTCTCTCTCTCTCTCACTTTCTCTCTCTCTCTCTCTCTCTCTCTCACACACATACTCTTAGCAATAGTCCTAGAGTAGCCACGCACGTCACCGGGCGCAAAAGACGTACAGTATGTACAAGAGCGAAACACGATCCGGTCAACATCCTTGGCTTCAAATGCCCTGACAATGAGGAAAGGATGGTCAGCTGATGGGCTTTCCCCTACGCTCCGCACATGAACCAGAGCCTTGAGGCCATCTGAAAGACGTGCGAAACGTCGCAGGGCAGGACACCGCCGCGCGCGTGCGCACTTCGGCTACAACTCTGTAACGGCCTGGGCAGCCTCGATCTCGGCTTCCAAGTCTTCGACAACATCCTGAAAGAACGGCCGTTTCGTTGGATCCTGGAAGAAGCGGGGAGACACACACACACACGGCGCCGCGGAGGCCCCAGGGTCGATAAGACGGTCGTCGATACGGGGCATCCATCAAAAAGAAGAGTTACGCCGCTGTTGAAAGAAGGCCAACACACGGTGGCACACAACACATGGCACAGCCGTGAAAAGGAAGATTGCTCTTTCTGCCAGCGAAGACAACGCTGCCTGCTTGAGACGGCAATTCCTACCCAACGAGCCTCCAAGAACGCACCAGAAACGACGTTGCTTAAAATACCGAAGAATATAAACAGGCACAGCCAATACGACCCATTGGAACGGGAGTTGAATGAATTCATCCGAGCGCGCGAGTCCACCTGGTGCCAACACCGTCGAATCAGGTCAGCGTAGGGCGGGGGGCAACCCCGCCCGATCGGAGGTCGTCCTCCGGTCGCCACCGTGTCTGCGATGTCGAAACGGTTCCGGAGGTCCTCGAACGGCCGTCGCCGCTCCCACAGCTCCCACATGACAACACCGAACGAATACACGTCTACCTGTGAAATGGAGGGGGGAGATGAAATGTTGACGTGACGGCGGTGTTGGTACAACTGTAGGCCAGTTAACACCAATCGTTTTTATCGGAATGGCCAATCGGCATGTTAGCTTTTAGCTGCGGTTTCCAAGTTCGCTACAAAGTACATCAGCATCCGGAGAACAAACTAACACCCCGGACGCTGCGCCGATTGCAATCGATGCATTAAGCATCCACTTGCATGCAACAACACCAAAAGCCTGGCGGGAGTTTGATCAGCTGTGCAGGCCCTAGCCAATATGGCGTCTGCTCTCGCAGCGTGCCGGAATTGCTTTCAATTGCCGTCATTCTCCATTGGGTTCTCCGTTGGACCCTAAGGAAAGTTCCACTTCGTATCATACGATAGTTGGACTTATAACGCAGTGCGTTGCCGTACACAAGGTAAACCGTCGAAAAGAAAAATAGACCCCATGACGCAGAAGTGGAAGTGGAATCTTTCGAGGTTCTATTGTTGCCGTACACAGGGAAATCGTCCCCGCCAAAGAATAGACGTGACGGGACACCATCCGGGTTTCCTCTTCACAACAAGCCTAGGAGCAACTTTCGTCTTGATACCTTGGCCGTATACTCCGCACGGCCACCCTCTCCTCCCCGCAGCATCTCCGGCGCGGCCCATGCCACCGTCCCGAGGTTGGTCGTCAGCCCCGGCCCTCGCTCTTCCGCCCGCGTCCCCCCCGCGGTCGGCCTGGAGCCCCGTCCCCAGTGAGCGACACCATTCAAAGCGCCACCTAGCCGCCCGCCACCGCCCCTACCGCTGCGGTCAAGCTCAATGCTCGCAGCATGGCCGGTGAGCGGATCGCTCTCATGGTTCCTTTCGAGAGGGTTCTCGGGAGCGTCGTCAGTGGCGCCGCCTGTCCCCACCCCGCCCCCTTGCCGGGTAGCAAGGGGGTGAGCGGAGCCAGAGCCTGTGGCGGTGGAGGCGGCGGCCCCCGCCTCGCCTTCGTCGTCGTTGCTGTAGTCGCCACGACCAGCGGCTGCAGAGGAGGAAACGACGGTAGGCATTGGTCCCGGTACGAACCGGGACATGCCGAAATCGGTGACCTGGGTAGGGCATTAGTTGTACAAGTAGGCGTTTCCCCGGGGTGTTGGTGGCGGTCAGAGAGTGGCAGCGGGAGCGGCAGCGGGAGCTGACATCGTAGAACCATTCAACTGGTCTTCGCGCGGAAACAGGCTGGATCGCCAATCAGCCATTCCTAGCTACCAGTTCCCAACAACAGTCAACAGTATCAATATGCTTGCGAAGGACTTGGAACACCATACACGTTACCCACACGAACGCCACAGGCTGTCACGACGCAAACAAATAATCGAACCCCCATGGTCTTCCTCGCTTTTGTGTATCCTTCCTTCCTTACCTTGACATGCCAGTGTTCGTCGATGACAAGGTTGCTGCTTTTCAAGTCCCGGTGCACGATCGCTGGGTTGTGTGTGTGCAAGTAGAGCATCCCGCGCGCCGCCTTGAGCAACAGCCGGGAGGGTGGGGGGCATGAAGCCAAGAACATGGGAAAAGGCTTCGAGATGGAAATGCAGATGCAGGAAACAGAAAGGTTGTTTGCCAAGAATGCCAGGGGACACCAGCGTCGGAGCCAATCGCGGCACCCTGCAAGACGACCATCAGGGGTAGGCTAGGCCGACCGTGGCAAGCCTGCCTCACCTTTGCACAGCGGGGAGTGCAATGTATATCGCCACATCCCATACGGACGGAGGCGCTGATTGATGAAAGCAAAATTGCCGCGACCAAATGGCACAGAGTCATTACATACGTGGAGCCGGAGCGGGTTACGATGGCGTTCCTCGCTCCCGCTGCTAGGTTGTATCCGTAGCTGGACACGTCGAAGAGCCAATGAAATTGAGCACCCACGCTCAAGCGTCCACGACGGACAGCAGCTTACGGGTTCAAAAACCTCAGCATAGGAAAAAAACAACACCAAACACAAGAATACCCAAAATAAAATCATCCACATGCGGCGGAAACGGTTCGCACGCCAATGCTCTGTTCCAGCCGCACCACGCACAAAGCACGACAGCGGCAAAAGCGCATCCCACCCAGAGCGGGTGATCCTCCGCGCAGAAAGCACGCTGTGCAGGTTCTGTCGTCTGGCGGGAGGGTGTTATCACGCGTCAGACACCTGCCTACTACACAGACCAGGCCAGGCGATGATGGGGACAAAACAAAAAACACGCACGGCACGTGACGACACGGCAGACACAGAAAAATGCAGGTGCTGTACCGACCTGGAGAGCCAGGTCCAGAATCAAGCCGTAGCTTGCCGTACGCAGCCCTCCTCTTCGGATGACGTCCTCCAGACTGCCGCGGGACAGGAGCTCTGTCACGATGCAAAGGCTCCCCTGGGTACTAGTCCCTGCGTGAGGGTGGTACGCGCATGAACAACAACATGCGGCATGGCGGGTGTCAGGGGAGCTACTGCACAGCGCACCCAACGGAGCTACGCGCATTCTGATAGAGCTGCAAGCTTGGGGCGCCTCGCCGGTGGCTTCTGTTCTCAAAGCGAGCTCCCCTCTTTCGGCCGCGGGGAAAAAAAGCGCGCTCCCCTCTTTTCCGCGGCGGGGGCAAAAAAACTGAAGCATTGCTGAGCCGCTGGAGCAATGTGAGTCACGACGGGACACCGAGACGCGCGGCGCTCGATCGCGTCTCCTTGCAAAGTCTTGCAACCTTGCAGCGATAAGCCCGACGACGGCGTCCGGCGAGGTGTCACGACTGCTGTGCTGACACTGACTTTGAAAAAAAACGCTCTCATACCGAAGTCCTCGAAGCCCAGCTCCCTCCTCCTGCTGACCGACATGGACGCCGTCCCGTCCCCGTCCAGCGTGATCCGGTGCCCTGGGGGAGCGAACGCCACCCCCATAATCAACACGATGTTGGGGTGACGCAACCTGGGGGGGGGGGGGGG